GTTAAGATAATACAGCTATTAATTTATGACACAGATTCATCACATGTAGCAATCAGTTTGTGTATTCCAAATGATCCATCTTTAATGATGTTAATAAACTAAAAGTCTGCAATATTATTGAGTCCCACCAGATAACCAGAATTCCACTCTATTCTCTAGAAAAAAGTCTTAATCATCTTTTTGTTTTGTTTTTGTTTTTTATTTTTTGCATAGGGCACCAGAATAAACTGAGAGTTTTGTATTGTCAGGCCAAACCCGCAGCACCTAAAGTAAAATCCTCAAGGCATATTCCACAAGCAGAGGATAGAATTTTAGATGCTCCCGACCTGTTGGATGATTATTGTAAGCTAGAGAGATACGTATAAATGAAGGCTCTGAGCAAACTTTTCTTCTTTTCCATTGCTTCTAACAATACTCTGTACAGTAAATTCCTTAATGAACAAGCTATTTTGTGCAGTTTGAGAAATTATGATAGGCCTTTTGATTTATTTCCTGAGCCAGGTGTCTTTAATTTGTGATCCAAAGGTGAAGTCTAGCTTCATACTATAGAATTTACCTTGTTGGGAATGTGAACTGATGTAAGTAATAAGAGTAGGAAATCATGTTTTAGCCACGTGCGTGTTTTCAACTGGATAAAGAAAACCACTGGTTTACTAAGGAAAGGGAGCTTAATTGCAAAAGATGTGATCAGACTATTTTTTGAAGTATGCAGGGACAAAAAGAAAAGAGTAATACATAAGATTTGACATTTCCCATTGTGTTGTCAAGGTACCAATTATATGCGTAATTTTTTACTTTGATAAGACGGGATAAGAATGATTTATTTAATATCTTCGGAAGAAATTGTCCCATGTGCAATTAGCATTCATGTAGAATTGACAGTTAAATGTATTCATTTCAGATCTGAACTTGTTAGATTGGGGATCACTGAATCAGTTGGCCCTTGCTTTGGCTGGTGCAGTGTACATTTGGAACCCCAGTAATGGTGAAACTTGTCACTTGATGCAGTTGGAGGGTGAAGACTATGTGTCCAGTGTAAGATGGATTGGGCAAGGAAGTATCTTGGCTGTTGGTAATAGCAACTGTCAGGTCCAGGTAATAAGAGAACATTCCTCTTGATAGCAGAGTTCTCGGTCCGTACTGTAAATTAGGGACCAAGTTTTATTCCATCAATTTATGGCCCAAGCATGAAGTGCATGGGCCATAAATCAATACAAAAAAAAGAGGATACTAAATTTACAATATGGATCGAGAAAACAAGGCTAATAAAATGTTTGTTACATGGCCTACTGTTTGGGGGAACCAAAAACAAGTGCAGGACACATGATTTCGTAGGTGTCAATAAAGGAAGTTTTTGTTGGCTCATGAAAAAACAATAGTGCATAACAAAGGCTCTCCTAGAAAGTGAAAACATACGTGCCTTGTTGAAAAAGTTTATTTGGTCAAAACTAAGAGCACTGTAAGTTGGTCTTTGTAAAAAATACTGCAAATGGCAAAGAAGCTTGTCAAGGTAAGTTTGTTGTGTCATTGTCGAAGGATTTGCTCATTAATTTTCTTTGGTCAAACGTCTCAAATCCCTGCCAGTCCATTCTTGTCTGTTTAATTGTGAACTGTGTCAAAACTTTCAAACTATGACTTGAATCCTCTTCCTCACAGGGCTGTCATTAAGAGGCCGGTGCCATGGATTTCTTCAGGCTACAATGAGTGTGGCCCCTGGCTACTTTCATAGAAAAATAGAGGAAAAATAGAACCAAAGGAAATCCCTAGCTGTTTTTTCCCTGCCTATTTGTTGTATTTACCTGTAACATGAAATCTTAGTGACATTATTCCAGTCCTCAGTAATGTTACAATTCCAGGGTTTGCACAGTCTTGAAAAGTCCTTGAATTTTAGGGGAAGTCCTTGAATTCCATTTTCCTTGAAAAGTCCTTAAATTTCCATGTAAGTCCTTGAAAATTTCTTGAATTTTCTTGTTCTTTGAATGTAGTGGCCTGGAAAGTGTTTTTTAATGATTTTGGTTGTCCAAGACAGGATATGAATCATAGCTCAGAGAATTTAAAGGTTATTTGTACAAAGTGCTCAATGTTTTATGTAGTAATTAACTATCAATTCAAGGCAAGTGAACTGAAAAATGTAGAGAAGTTGGTAAGCATACAGTTCAAGCCTTAAAGTTTCAGAATTTTTGTCTGTTTTTGTAGAATCTGTGAAATTATATTCTGTAGGTGGACCAAAAGTCCTTGAAAAATATTGACCAATCATCAACTTTGTCGAGAAAACACAGACTTAGCCATCCAAAAGGTTTAATTTTAAACAACCATTTAGTTTTAGAATTTTTGTGTGTAAGTAAGTTACTGTATGGACCACATATTGACCAATCGCAGGTCGAGAACAGACTTAGCCATAAAATAATTTGGTTTATTACATTCCCAGGGGGGGGGGGTACTCCCTTACAAGAGGCTAATAGGGATGTGCCGCTGGATGGGGTCGCATTTTCACGACTGGACTGACTATAATGGGGTTGCATTTTCAATAGATTTACTAGAATGGGGTCGCAAATTTTTGGCAAGTTAATAACAGAATTCACTAGCCCGATTCCACCAGCCCCGGGCCATCGAACACTACTTTCTTTGCACGCTAAGGGTTACATCTTTCATGGTCTGAAAAACTATTATTTTTTGACAAACATAACATTGCAGTTGTGGGATGTAGCACAGTCAAAGTGTATTCGTGTAATGGAGGGTCATGTTGCTAGAGTCGGATCACTTGCCTGGAATTCTTTCATTCTCTCAAGGTAAACAAATAATAAATTTGCATAATTATTTGCCAAACTTTGTGATGCACCTTGAACTATACTGGGAAGGAGGGGTTAGGGTTAAGCAGAGCCTGCCCTTATAAGCCATTGTAGAGAGTTCCCCACCCCAGGCCTTATACAACTCATCCTGTACAGTCAGTTTTTTGCAGATGACATGTGAAGGTCACTTAGTGTGATTAAGAATTGAGTCACTTTTTTTGTTTCCTCAGCAGGGAACAACTTATTTTTTCACATACTTTAATACAGTATGGAAGCCTGCCATGCAACCACCTAGTCAATAAAACCATTTATTACCAACACTCAAACTTCTGATGTTGGCCCAAAGTTTAAGTTGGTGTCATTTCTTATTTTCATGAACACAAACAATACAATCATTACTTTTTTTTAATTTAAAAGTACATATTAAAGTGTTTTCAGAGTGAGTAAATTGGGGTAGCTCAAGTTGGAGAAGGATGCTTTTAAATCTCAATTGCTACTAATATGAGCTTTTTTAACTCTTTAGACTAGATATACAATTTGTAATATGAGCCACAACAATTATTGTAAGCAAGTATCAGTACAGATATGCAATTTTATATTACTTGTACCCTGTACATGCAAAATGTAATGTATGGATAAAATTGGTACATTGTGTATTCTGGGCCTAGTTGTGTTCACTGGTTAATGTGGTTCCTTCTTAGTGGTTCAAGGAGTGGTGCCATCCATCATCACGATGTTCGAGTAGCATCTCATCATGTGGGTTCATTGCTGGGTCACAATCAGGAAGTATGTGGTCTTGAGTGGTCTCCAGATGGTAAACTGTTGGCTAGTGGTGGCAATGATAATGTACTGAATATTTGGGCTCATGGCGGGGTAGCCGAGCTGGATACCAATCCACTACACGTACTCACACATCATCAAGCTGCCGTCAAGGTTTGTGTCAGTAGCCATCGTCACAAAAACTTTGCAAACCTTTGTATCAGAGATTAAGTAATGATCCGGATAAGGTGGATAGCAATTTCTTTTGTTATGCGGCAACGGTGCTTTCCCCGCATGGGAATGTTCTCATCTTTACACAGAGAATGCATAAACCTACATGAAGGCCATTTACGCAACAAAATGCACTTACACTCCACTTTGAAAGGGTGGTTTTTTTTGTGTTAAAAGATTTTGACCAATCACAAGAGTTGAAAACAATCGCCAAGAAAAGTTTACAATTTTACATGTTCCCCACCTAGGTTTTCTTTGTTATTCAAACTGAGACCAGATTTTGTTAAATGGAAGATGTTTGGAAAGTAAGGATGAATATATGTACCGCTTTATGAAGTTTTGTTAACTTTTGCTGTTTAAGCCAAGCAGAAGTATAATACAGACAATAGAAAAGTTAGCACCTTTTTTGCATTCCAACATGTTCATTGCCATTGTTGCTATCGTTCTTATCTGGACCGTTTCTTAAAAGAAAGGTTTGGTATGGTGGTTTATTACTGTGATTTGGCTCAGTCCTTAATCAGCCCACAGTGTATAATATTATTATTACATCAATAAAAGTTCACAATCCTCTATTTTAATTAAGGCTGTTCTCTGTACTCTGAGATGTGTTGTTTTCTTCCAAAGCCTGTTTAGAATCTTATTCAAACATGCAAGTGTCAAAAATGAAAATGTGGTACAATCTCCAAATATTTAACATTTATTGAATGAGGCTGAGTATCTGAAGAATTGTGGAGATCTTGGGGAGTGTTATCCGCCTCGGCCGTATAATTCTTCAGATGATATGAAAGCCAAATTCAATAATTTATAGTTTTATTATTCATTCAAAATCATTCCTAGTTTAAAAACAAGTTAAAACATGCTTACCTCCATGGATGTTAAGTTCATCTTTGATAGTGCATGTTTATCAGAGATAAAGGATTGTTCAGTTTTGCAAATATTCTCCAAATAGCAGATGTCGTCCGCCCGGGGGGAGACTCCATATGAAACAGACGGGGATGCTCGTCAGAAATTTTGAATTTAACCCCTAAAGGAGACCATCTGGGCGTGGCTCAGCTTTTGTGACCCCTAAAGGAGACCAATCTGGGCGTGGCTTAAGCACATTTTTGACCCCTAAAAGAGACCGCTTAAAAAACACACAAATATGACATGCAATGAGTTTTAGTGATATAAAGACATAATCATCGAATGCTTTTATCGAAAAGTAGTTTTTAAAAGCATTGTCATAAATCAAGTTCTTCAGCTCCCTAAACGAGACCTTGGCGGCTTAAAATATTGGCGCTTTGCCCGAACATCCCGTCTGTTTCATATGGGAGTCCCCCGGTTCTCCAGTTCTCTTTTTACTCTTCTTGCTGTGTTTTTAGCCAAAAGTTCACCTATTTTTTCCTCATGAAACAAGTGAAACGTTCCACCATTTTGTATCACTACCAAAACAACTTAAACTCGATCGTCCCCAGGTTTTCTTGGGTAACAGTACAATAATCTGGCAATTTTGCTGCGTGGTTGACATCATCAGTTCACATATCACAAAATTCTTCTGACAAATTTGGTTGAGAGTAGCGGGTTATGATGAATTATGTGTGGGATTTTAGAAATGGAGAAATATTTTGAATGTCTGAGTAACAATATTTCTATTGTGAAGCTGATTTTGATCTTTTCCCTGAAAGGGGTACTCTTCCCTTGCTCGAGCAATACCTTAACTCGAATTAGATGCAACCAATGGAAGGAAACTAAGAAAAATTATTTCAGCAATTTGTTCAGGACTTAGGAGCCATCGACATATTCACTTTTTTCCCACATACCGTCAACTGGGTGTTTGGGTCAGACCCCCCTCTCCCCCTCCTTAACGTCTACTTAAAATTTTGCTGCCACAAAAGTCACTGCATTCCAGACGGAATACTGACATACATTTTGATGGTCCTGCTTTCTATTAAATTATGTCGGAAGCACCGTTCCACACATAACATAAAATTTATGAAAATGGACCAGTTTACTTTTGTCCAAAAATGCCCTGCACTAACGTTCACTGCCTTACCCCCTCCCCCCCCTAAACATACAGTTGACCTTAAGGGGAGGGGGGAACTAAATATGTTGACAGCCTCTTACTAACCCAACTAGAATAAAGTTGGCTTTACTTTTTTAAGTGCAATCCTTTCCTGTGGTATTTTCCTTAATGGTGAAATACAATACTGTAAATGGTTTCTTTTTGTCTGTATAACAAAAATAACATTACACGGCGGCTGAAGATGTGAATTTTATTTTCTCGTGGCAAAAACAATATTTAACTCACTCGCTGCGCTCGTTCGTAAAATTTGTGACACTTATGTATTGGGTTGTTGCCAAAACATCTTTGTCATGACCACAGAGTTTGGGGCTATACTCAAGATCGGGAGGCTCTTTCCTGAAGCACAACCTCTTACCCTCCTTATATACCTATCAACTATACCTGTATCTTTCACTGAAAAATACCGATTTCACTTGCACACTTTACGTCCTTTTAAATATATAAATGACAAATTTCGAAGGCCTACCCTTTTAACTTACCCGCCAAATCCTTAAAAAAGTATCCCTTGCAGGCTGACCTTCCCTGTGTAGGCCATGATAGAAAGTAGTTCTCCCCAGGTCTTGACTGTATCCCTTTAAGGCAGTTGTATCTGTGTTATTTAGAAATGGTATGCTTCAATCTGAAATTCCTACGGTATGACAGGACTATTACCGGTCATCCTCGGAGACCCAGGGGCAGATAGTGAGGGCGAGGTAAAATCTAAACGGGCGGAAAAATATGGCACAAAGAAAAGTAAAGAACGGCGAGAAGAGCCCCTGGGGACAATATCTTACCAGACCAGTTCCAAACGGTCGCCGCCGTTCTGGCTTCTGATTGGTGCCAGAAAACTTTTGTGTTTATCTGCCCAGTCAAAAGGCAGAACGGCGGCGACCGTTTGGAACTGGTCTAGTAAGACATTGTCCCCAAGGGCTCTTCTCGCCGTTCTTTACTTTTCTTCGTGCCATATTTTTCCGCCCGGTTAGACTTTCCCTCGCCCCCACTATCTGCCCCTGGGTCTTCGGGGATGATTGCCGGTATAACTGGTGTACTTTTTTATGTAGGCTTTGGCTTGGTGTCCATGGCAACCAAATGTTCTTGCAAGTGGCGGTGGTACTGCTGATCGTCATATTAAGTTTTGGAATGCAAACACGGGATCATGTCTCAACAGTGTGGACACTAACAGCCAGGTGAGTAGCCATCATGGAACTAGCCTTTGTACGGAATTGTTAAGGTACATGGCGAACACCTTTGGCTCATCAACGGTGCATTTTTGTTTGAGCATGTGCACCACTCTAGTCAACTGCGACCATAGGTAGGACGTGAGCGAGATGTTCGATCAGTGTTCGATCTGCATCTGACTGATTATCATTTGTTTGCGTAACTATGTCTCTATTTGGCCGTCTTGAGGACTCGCCTTCTTTGATGTGCCCCGGCCGTTCTCAAAACTCTCGAAGACATTTGGTCCCGAAAAAGTGCATGACGTTCATTAGCAGAAATACGATTTTAAAGAAATTTCTAATTGAAGAACTGGAAAACTTTAATAGATCGAGAAGTGCGTTGCGGCGTACTTTGCACAAAACTCTTGAGGATTTTTGAAAATTCACAAGGCCTAAACGGGCTGTGTTGTTTAACAGGGTATGGTTTTCAGGGTCTGGGGCCCGTTTCCCGAGAGCCCTGGAAACTGTTGAATGGAAGCACAGTTCCTAGCCTACAAGCCAGTCAGTTTTGCTCCATTAACTGATAGTTTCATTGTATTATTTTCAAAATTATCGAAACTTTGATCTTGGATGAAAACACAACAAACACAAAACAGTTTTGAACAATCAATAGTCCTCGAGCAAATATGTTTCCAGTGGGGGAGGCCAAGTTTGGGTAAGTGACGCATAGGTCACTGGAAGGGCTACCCCAGGACACCCGGGGTGGATTTGATTTGTACAGTGCCCAGGTCTCATTTGCTTTAGCCTCCCACGCAGGCGTTTTTAGGGGAGGGATCAAAAACGAGCTCCCCTAAAAACGCCTGCGTGGGAGGCTACATTTGCCTGGCTGCGCGTTGGTTTCGGCTACTTTGGACTATATCTTTCGAGTTTGCCAAAGTCTGCTGGATTCGTTTCTCTAGCTGGGAAAGCTTCATTAGTTTCCACATTTGGGGCTGTTCGAATTTCATGGAAAAAGTTGTGTTGGAAAGGGAGCGATTTCGACTGAGACTTCATCTCGTGCCTTTTATTGTATGGAGGGTGAATGTGAGCAAATTGTCATGAAACTTCGTTTGAGGTTTAAGAACAGCTACAACAACTAACTGCAGAGTAGGTTTCACTGACTTTTATTCCGTATTTCTTACAAATTTTAAGATCGTATTTTGATCCCATACAAACACTATAATTGTACTGGAACCGTACGAACCTGGGTTACTTGTGTCCTGACCATACAACTCGCTGCACAAAATGCTGGTCAAATTTAACCATAAAACGCTACGCTAACACATCTGTGAAAGTTAACGCACAAATAGAGGAAGTGTGCCTACGGACGATCTCCTCTCTGAAAGGATATTCTTACCCAAAGTTTTATTGCAAGAATGAACTGAGTAGTCAGAAACCTACGGCGAATACAGTTAGCACTACAAGAAAAACAACTTAATGCTGAGTGCGCAGTGAGATTAGGTCTAAAGGACTTCTATTTATCAAATTTACTTGGTATTTGTCTCTCTCTTTTCGAAACTAAAGCTTAACAAAGTAAAATATAGCACCTACGAAAAAATCTCAAGTTTTTAGCGTCGCAGGTTCCCGTTTTGAGGAAAAATAAACTTACCAACTCCAGTACTTCTAACCATCCATTTTCAGCTGCAATGAAAACCCTTAGAGTTGGTAATTTATTTAGGATTTTTAGACTTGCGTGTATCACATTGTCACGGGAAGTTTGCCACGTAGGGATATAGATGAAGACTAAGACCCTGTTTACATGGAGTGGGGGACCCCGGTCTAGTGGGGTAGGTTTCTTTTGTTTTGTGTTCTCCAGAGCGTGAAAACAAAAGAAACCAACCCCACTAGACCGGGGTCCCCCACTCCATGTAAACAGGCCCTTAATACGCGAATGTGATGAGTCACGCCTGAATAAATTACCAAGTACAAGGATTTTCATTGCAGCTGAAAATGATAACTTTCCGGATGCTAACAACAGGTAGTGAGATTTCCGGAGATGCCTTTCTTCGAAAAGGCCACTGCAGTCAAGGAACATGAGCACTTGATATATTCTATTAATTTTAGGGGCCATACTGTTGAGTTTTAACGAAGAGAAGTTTGTAAAACAGCAAAAGTGTTCTATGTGCAACAAGCAATATTCCCACCACTAAAAAGGATCAGATTACACGAGGAGATAAGGAAAGCTTGACACGAAGAATACAGTCGCTTCTGTTGGAAAATCTCAGGTGTTAGGGAAAAAATCTAACCAGCAAACAAAAAAAAGAGAACAAAAACGAATTACAAGCCTAAAGCGAACGACAAAGGAAAAGAAAACAACGCCATTTTTTTCGAAACCTGGCCGAGTTCAGTAATGTGAAACCGAACCGACAGTAGATTTGTAGGTGGACTTAAAAAATTATATTCCCGATCGCTTCCACTGCAAAGCTGATTTTATTCTTTCAAGACACTTCACACTTTTACATAGCAGGTTTGTAAAGCCACCAGACTGAATCTGAGAACTGACTCTCCTCCGGAACCTCATAAAATGTTACATGCATAACACCTTTTCAAGAAAATAATCCTTGCGACAGAAAGGGACCAAGAAACGGTCAAATGGGGAAAAAAAGGAATGTTATTCCTAAGCAAAATACGCATGATTTGCTCGTTGGCACTCTATCGATAGGTATACCTAGTTCAGTTTCCTGGAATAAAGCTTTGGGTAAGAATACCCTTTCAGAAGTCCGTGGGCACTCCTCCTCTATTTGGGCATGTTTTTAGCGTCTTTCCCTAGTCTCGCTCTCCGTTTTCAGCTTCTCTCCAGACCTTTTGTTTTACTGATCTGGCGTACTTGAATACGCAAAAATACGGACTGTTTTGTGGTCTAATAGACCATTTTCGATACTTTAGAGTGATTTTGATTGAACCGTGAAATAGGTAGTAAAATACTGCATACTATTATGCACTAATTCTAAACTATTGTCTTCTTTTGTTTACCTCTCGCTGCTTTGCACTATTTTTTAGTATCTGTTTCACGGTTCAAGAAAACTAACTCTAAGGCCCTGTCCACACTTATCCGTTTTGATTTGAAAACGCAACTTTTTGTTTACGGATACGGCTTCCGTCCACACGTATCCGATGAAAACGATCAATCAAAACGGAACTTTTCGAAAACGCTCTCCATAGTGGAACTTTTTGGAAACGCTGTTTTCGCGTGTACGTGGGCATGCGAAAACGGAACTTTTCGCTGAGGTCACATTATCAGTTCCAATCCACTCCGCGCAATATTAGCATGCGCAGTCGGGTAAGTCATCGTTTTCAAATCGATTCATCGCATACGTGTGGACGGGCGAAAACGCTACGAGTGGACGCGAATTTTTTTGAAGACGGAGAAAACAAGTTTCGTTTTCAAACGAATACGGATACGTGTGGATCGGGCCTAAAATTCATACTTGGCTCCGAGGCTTGCGGGAATAATAAAAGAAATGCATTATTCATTATTGAGCCTCAAGATGATTTGTTTTGTTTTATTCCCCCAAGCCTCGCAGCCAAGTATGAATTTTAATATATCGGAATTGGTCTATTATGGAAGAGCACTGATGCGTCCTGACTGCATCTCTCCCACACTTAGATTATACCGTTTTCTTTTTCGTCATAAAATTAACTAGAATGTTTGGCAGCAGATTGATTTCCAGGTGTTTATCTGCTTGAGAATACTTCATGGAAAGTGCTGGCGTACGGTATTTACGCACGAGTTGTTGACATATCAGAAATCGAACGAGTGAGCGCAGCGAACGATTAAAATTTCTGATACAAAAACAACGAGTGCGTAAATACCGTACAAAGCACTTTTCATGTGGTATTGTGTTTATCATAAACATACTGAGACATTCGTCATTTTGGCGGCCTTTTTATTTTAAATCTTTCAAAAATGTTAAAATTTGCCGCTACAACAAAAAGCTTACGTCTCGTTCTGTTTACCCCTTTCCGCTGTTGTTTCCCCGGCTCTCTACCGTTTACTTTATCAACAGTGAAACAAACGAAACTATTGCACTCCAGTTCCGAAATGTTTTTCACTTTTTTGGCGAGAAAAACTCATGGAGTAAAACTTTTCACGTTGAATGTGTGCGAAGCGGCGCTGCAAGCTGCAATAAAAGGCGGGAATTTTGGCGCGAAACTCGCACACCCCTGTGGCTTCTGATTGGACGTATCATTTTTCTCACGCGTGAAAAAACATCGTTCGCGATTCTGATTGGACGTATCATTTTTTTCACATGTGAAAACCATCGTTCGCTCCTCTGATTGGCTAGAACTAATTTGCGTACGAAAATTTACGACATAGCTTTTTGGTGAGTATTTCTCAGTATGTATATAATATGTATTTGTTGGGCTTTCGTTTGTCGACTATGAGCATCAAACAGCCGGGATATAATTTTGAGTCACAATTATTGATTGTTGGGTAGCCTGCAAGCAGGCTCACTTGTGCGTGTTCGTAGAAAATTTTGGCGGCGCGAGCCGGCAAACGTGAAAGCCGGCGAGACTACCTAAGGAGAAGAAAAGGTCGAGGAAAAGTGAACAAAATCAATAGACCTCGTGTAGGCTCACTTTTGCAGGCTTCGCCACCAAAATTTTCCTCCCAATTTGCACAAGTGAGCCTGCCAGCAGGCTGGTTGTTAGGTAGACTTTCATTAAACCGGAATCCATTGTTGTAAATCTACATTGTCATTTATGTTCCATTCTTGATCCACTGTCATCCACCGACATCTGTTGTTATCTGTTTTTGTTATACTTGTTTTAACATTAGACTATTTCAGATTCCGACATATGAAACATAACCGTAATAGACTTCTCAATAGAAGTTTTGATGTTTTGTGTTTAAGTCGCTTTTCTTTGCTTTGTTTTGACACCTCTGGCTTTGCTGAAGAGCCTCCTACTTTATCAGTGATCACCTCCTACTTAAAAATCTATTGAGAACCCTGCTCTTAGTTTGTGTGTTTTGTTTTCCCAATGGAGTTTCTAGGGAGACTTTACTCTTTGTCTTTTCGTAAAATTATGGGTAGATATGCGCGTGAATAAGACGAAATTTGAAAGAAACAGTTCTCTAAAACAAAAACATGCAAGTTTAAGAGGTATATTGTTTTCCTTGCAAATTGAGAATTCATTTATTGGTGAGACTATTGATTGTGACTTGAGTTTTATTCTTAGGTGTGCGGACTACTGTGGTCAAAAGAGTACAAGGAGTTAATATCCGGCCATGGATTTTCGCAGCATCAGCTTACAATTTGGAAATATCCAGCCATGACCAGAGTCACGGAGCTTACGGGTCATACATCGCGTGTTCTTCAGATGGTCATGTCACCTGATGGCCAGTATGTTGCATCTGCTGCTGCTGACGAGACTCTGCGCCTGTGGAAATGTTTTACTTCTCAACAAAAGAACAAGAAAGCACCGGGAAGAGGGGCAGCTAAAGAAGCTGCTTGTTTGATGTCCTGTATGAAGGTTCGGTGATGCGAGGACTTGACAAAATTCCTATTTTAAAATTTATGTTAATAGTAAATGAAGTGAAAATGCAGATTGAATGAATCATAGTACCAGAAACTCATAAGGGGTTGAACAACCCCTTATGAGTTTCTGATAGTACTTAATCTATGTAGATATATTAAAGTGGCGCTATAACTGCTAACCTTCAGTGCTTTTTGAAATTTGTACTGTGGTTAAAATTGAGTGAATTTAAGGCACTATCACCACCTTGTTTGTGCGGAAGAGAAAACTGAAATGAAAAGTTGTGAAAACAACATCTGTACAGTCTTGTCTAAAAATGTAACTCTTGGCGTCAATTTGTAATATTCTGCTGCACCTTTGCAGCATATAAATATATCTTAATTTTCTGACGAATAAATATGCCTTATGTTAAATAACCATGCATGAAGGAAAGAGTACAAAGATATACATTTTTTGATTTATGATAATCAATTTAATTTTTTAAATAATGTTGTATTTAGCTTGTAAAGAGTAATGAAATTAAATAGATTTTTTCATTTTAATAATATGCCTACATTTATTATTTGGGCGTCGCCCAAATATACCTATTTGCAATAGGCACGCAATACGTGCGAACGTAAACAAGCCGAGCGACGCAACAAGAATGTCTGCCGCGCGGTGCCACGACACAGCATGTATCGTCGTTACATACGTCCTACAGATAACGCACGGCAAACAAATCGGCAATAGAAATCAAACGTATTCAGAAAACAAGGTACATTGAGTGAAACATACTATTAATTTAAAATCATTTAAATTTTCCCTTCACAAACCAATTGTCCTCGCAGCACACGGCGTGACGATTTTTTGCAAGGAAAAGATAAACTTGTAAATCCTAAGCTTACGGTATTTTTTATCTTACCTTGTAACGGGGCGATTTTTCAGAAATTTGAAGGTAAATCTGTCGAAAATAATTGGAATTGACGGGTTTGGCTTATTGCCAAGAGTATGACGATATTTTTGCCCTCAGTTGTCGAGAGCTAAAGAAGATGGCACGCAGACTTCCGTGTTCGTACATGAGATAAATAAGGGTAACATTGAATGATATACCGTAAAATTCCGAAAATAAGACCAGGGGCATATGTTTTTCAAAGGCCCGTTTTGAGGGGCTTATCAAAATCGATTGGGCTAGCCTTATAGCTGGAAGTAAAGTTACCGTTTTTTCTTTGTTTTACTTTGTATTTAAGGGCAATTTTCCAAGTACAAGCCCCCCGGGGGGGGGGCTTATATTTGAAGGGCCGATTTAACGGAGGGTTGTGTGAGTTACCAGTTTAGGGGGCTTATACATGGAGGGGCTTATTTTCGGAATTTTACGGTATAGTTTCGGAAAGGAGGTGATTTCTTAAAATCTTATTGAGCAAAATGATCTCGTAAACAAGTTGAATTCTTTCACGTTCGAACCGTAAAAGGTTAAAAGGGGAAGAGTCTAACATCTTCACTTGCAAACTGCTTTCGTGACAGTTCTTTTTAAAACCCTTGGGTTAAGTCGTATTCTCCCATACACTGACCGCAAAAGCGGCAAATCCAAAGCTTTCACGAGCAACCTGCGTGACAATTCGACTCACCATAAAGGACCGATTGTTTATTACGTCCCGGGGCTTGATTTTGGGGGATCAATTTTGAAAATGCACGTAATGTGAGGGGTGGGGGTCGAAATATTAAGATGATGATGATTGAAGCACATCCACGTTTCCTTCAAAACGAGAAATAAACTTTGGCGGTTCTTTTTCACCAACAAAATGTTACCCGTATAAAACTCGGCCCAGGAACCTATTTCTCCTATCAGAAATGTAGCGCGCATTCACATACACACCCCTATGCATACAACCGAAATCTGCAGAAAAAATATATATATACACCGTATTCACAAATGGCGGACACGCGGGAAAAAACTGGTGCCTAGTCATGAAAGCGAGGCGTTGGAGGGTAAACAAAAATTGCAAATGAAGACTTTCAGTGAACTTGCAGAGTGTTTAGCACGGATTCCACCTAAAATAACTTTGTACGGACTTCTTTTTAAATACAATTACGTGGGATGTCTTCTGCTTTTAATGTTTAGTATTGATTCGTTATCTTAAAGGCTACTAGTACCGATAGACAAACAAGAAGACTTCATATCTTTAAGACTTTTTGCATTTATTTGGCATCAGATAGTACACTAATAATTCTAGTATATTCCGACCAAATGACCTCTGAAGCCCGAACCCACAACTAGTGCGCTTGGGCTGCCTGTGATTGACCTAGAAGCAATAGTACCATCCCTCCCATAGCAAGCGCTGCATTGTTGCGCGAACGCGGTCGCTAAGTTTGAATATTCACGTCGCGTATTAAACCTGGTCGTTTGCGGTCATATCGAAGCGTAAAGGTTAACAGTGGTTGTTGATGAGCGAGCAATTATTGTGCAGTTGCGATGGGTTTTGTGGAGCAAGCGAGCCAGAAGCAGGAGCACACGTTACCTGCAGACTGATTGGCGCCGATGGTTATTTGGAGCGGATTCGTCTATTATTCTCGAATTTATAGCGCTTCGTGTGAAGACGCGTGGAGATGGTCTGTTTGTTTTGTAGCCAGCCTTTAATTCTTCTTTAGTGGATAGTACCTACAATTTCAAAACTCAACAAAATGCCACTTAAACCGGCCAGGAAAGACAAGGATACGTTCAGTTGAAGGTATCTTAACTTTGTTTTGTTATATTTTGACTTTTAGACTATTTTAGTCCATGGGAGTTTCGACGACTCATCGCATTAATTTGTCCATGTGGATATTAATATATTCATTCAGTGACACATATTACGTCTGGGCCGCCTGTGACTAGAGATGGATAAAATAAACAACTAATTACTGCATTTTCCTTCGTCTTTATTTACTGAGAATGTCCTGCAGAAAACGCAGGAGATGGCATTTCCGAGACCCTAAATTAAAAATTTTCTGGGTGAGAATGCCCCCAGACACCTCCAGGTTTTAGGCGCCTTCGGCGCGCGAACTTTTCTTCCACTGAGTGCACCTTCAAAATCTCACGCTACGCTGCTGACTACCGGTATCTTATAGCTTATGAAATCATTCCCCAAGGATGGAAAAAGAGACTTGGTGTAGAAGGGGTTGGAGTTGGGGTCAATTTTAATCGCCGAGGGGGGTTACAATTTTCACATGTAATTATTATTTTGGGGGGGGGGGGGGGTTTTTGATACACAACACTTTTCTGAAAACCACCGCCCCCCTCTTGGACGTCGAAAGGTGTTCATTGGCTGGGCCGCCCGGAAAGCGTGATTGCTTCAGCTAACCGGGCTGGCTCGGTTGTCGTATAATCGCAAAGTTTAATTTTGTTGCGTTTAACTAAGGTACCGAGATCTCTGAAAAGCGAGCCAGCCCGGCTCATGTAATCAGGCCCTTAGATCTATAGCCAGAGTTTACGCCTACCCCCTTGACCTCACCGATTTTTCAAAGCCCCTCGAACACACCCTCACACAGCCCCCCCCCCCCCCACAACGTCTTCATACCCCCTTCTCTATAACAAATGAACTTTCACCTTATCCACGTTCTCTCCAAACAAATATTATCAAAAATAACCGAAGAGCAATCCTAAACAGAAAGCCTAACAACTTTTTAAAACATATACAAGTCTACCTGGAGTTTTGAAAACCTGAAATCTTAAGTTAGGTCCAGCACATTGCAGACAATCTTTCAAAGCATAATTTGCTTAAGGACGGGATGCTTCTATTGTAAAAATAAAAATGTCCCTCTTCAGGACTAACCACCCTCAGCTCTTAACCATGGGTTCCAAATAACTTCCTGGAATTGACAGAAATCGGTGGAAATACCGGAATAAATGCACAAGAGGGGCAACAGGCTGGTCTGTTTCCCTTGTTGAGCCAGCTAATTTTTTTGAGGGAGGCCTCCGTCAAGCTAAGTGTCCTGTTGTTGCACAGACACGGGGCTATCATCTGGTATGCATTTGGGGTTGCCTGATTACATTCTGGGGAGGTAAGATTGTTCTTAAAGAGCATGCTTATTGCTGGACTGTGGATTTGCTTAATTTTTGTATCCGGGCTTATCCCTGTCTTTCAAAGGTCAGTGTCTCCCTCAAATTGAGGAGGGTTTGTGTCTAGCTGGGAGTCATGTTGTTGCAAAGACACAGGGCTATCATCTGATATGCATTTGGGGTATCCTAGTTAAATTCCAGGGGGTGGGATTTTTTTAGTTTGATGCACTGTTATGCCTTTTTTTTTTTGCTGTTTGCATGCAAGCAATAACCCACTCTGTTGCTAATGTTCCAAGTCAGCAAGCAGTTAAATTGGTGGTTATAGGACCTGTTTTTGTTGATCAATGTTGGTTTGGATTGTTTTTGGGAGACCAGTGGCAATGAAAAATGGAGTGAATTGTGGAAATGGCTTTGAAATTGGTGACGCTAACACTAAAATTCTTCCTTAAAATGCCTTATTTTCCAGACCAATGAGGAGAGCTTCACTTTTGTTACCTTCGAGAGAGACGTTTCTATCAAATGGGAACTCGTATATTCAAGAATTTCTTTTTGAGCCGAGACTTTACTTTTTCAGTAAGAAGGGGCATTAAATTACCAATCAGTGCGAGACTGACATGTTTTAGTAGCCCAGTTTTCAAAAAACCAGGTATAGGTATGTTCTCAACTGTTGATAAGATCTCGCATTTCAACCGACTGTAACCAAACTATCCCTTCGTAACCAAATTAGTACTCCCACAACTACCTCACTGTAACAACTAAACTCACTTTTACCACCTAAAAAAATATTTTTTATTACTTCATATTAAATTCTACAAGAAACCAGTATCACTGATTAACAAACTACAGCCATGTCACGATTCTAAGAACAGGAATAGGTTTTTAATGTCTGTTTTAATGCTTGCTACAACCTCCGTGTCGCGCCTCGTGGGTCTATCACGCTCGGCTAAATGTTGCCTGTTGTTATATAATCATACAATATTACACTGGATTG